TATTCACATTTCCAGATGAAATTATTCCAAAGACTCAATTCACCCACCAAAATATTTTTAACTCCGTGAAATTTCAAGACATAAAAATCAGCACTTAAGTTTGTAAGAATCAGGGCCTATAGGGCAAGCAGGCCCAGAGGTAAAGAATGAGTAATGATTTTGCAGAGGACCCAAGTTTGGTTTTCAGAATTCACCTCAGGTTGCTCACAACCACCAATAACTCCATCTCCATGGGAATCCAGTGTCTCTAGGCTCTGCGAGTACCTGCATTCACGTGGGCATGCCCACACACAGATATACCCAATTGTGTGTCAATTGGAGATAATTATTTAAGTGCATGAAAGTCAACTGTATTCCTTTACAGAAATAGCAATCTGTCTGAAGAAATCAAAGAAATAATTTCATTTACAACAGCATCAAGAAAACTAACATTAGGAATAAATTAAACCAAGAAAGAAAATGATAATGATCACATGAAAAATTTAAAATGTTGATGACAGAAATCAAAGGGAATATTAAGGAATCCTAATGCATTCCATGACATAAACTGGAAGAATATAGTGTTGAAATGCCCATGGTACAGAAAAGCCATGATGCAATGCCTATCAAAATGCCAATGGCATCACCATTCATGGAGTGAGAGTTGCTCACAGTGGGGAGAGAAATGGGCCATCCAGGTGATCTTTGGAAGGTGTTGTGGCATAGAAGGAACATATACATGCAAGAAATGGGTGAGCAGAGGTCAGAGGGAACATGGTTTCACAAATCCTTCTACAAGTCTGGACTGTGTTGGTAGGTAGACACATGCAGCAAAAAAGGAGATGTAGGGTTGCCAAAGGTGCATAACTTGTGGGAAACGATAGATGTATGTATGACTGCTACAGGAAAATAAACCCCTAAATATTCATCTAGTTATCAAGTTTTACCATATGTATAATATATACATAACATATATATGCTATATATCTCCATGACACCCTTTGACCTACAAAGCCCACTCAAATTTTGATAACATCACATTGTCTGAAATATTCTCCTATTACAATCACATAAACTTTAGAAAACAGGAGAGCTTCAGAAGCATCACGTGTATGTACTTCCTTTAAACTCCAATCTGTCTTTCTAGCATTACATCTAACTCCAGCTAGGGAAAAAAAGGCTTTAAAAGCTCAGAGAGTCTCTTTAAAATATGCAAAGTCTCTTTCAAAGTCTCTCAACTGAGAGCTCCTGTAAAAACCAATAACAAATCTAATACATTCTGATTCCATGAAGCTGAAGAATCAAGATCTGGACACAATCAAATCGAAGCAAATTCCAAATCTGACTGTCTAACATAGTTCACTCTGAGGCCTGGGACACAAGTCTTCCAGGTCTCAAACAGCCTGGGTGGTTTCATGTTCTGGCTCAACCACACATTGCAAATACTACTTGTCTTGTAGGCTCTGGGTGGGTGGGTCCTCTTCCATAGCTGCTTAGTGATCTTCCCCTAGGACTGGCACCTGAAACTTCTACAGTCTGTACTGCAACTGCCTGAACCTTTATTAATAGTGTTTTGGCTTCTCTTCAGGGACCCAGACACTGCCAAATGGTGCCGAGCCTCCATTTTTATGACCCTGTCAATCCTGGGGTTTCGTGTATGACTTGAGGCTGCACCTTCAGCAATGCCCTCTTCTAGCCTCTTGGTGTCAAGACCTCTGCTGCTCTCCACGATCCCTTCATGCCTTCATGTGTGTGAAACACACACAGAACCACATTCAGTTGCCAGCATGAGATGCAACTTTGGCCACCTCTGGAACATAGCTTTCGTGTATTGACTCTGAGACAACAGTATCCAGAATATTTTGCTTCAGTGATGGCAGTGGCCTCTGAATCACAGCTGATTCTTCAGCCTCAGCTGACTAGGATTGATTATCTTAGCAGTACAAAGGCTTCATTTTGATCTTGTCTCATTGCAAGCAATTCTTCAACCTCAACTAACCGGAACTACAAAATCTTAATTCAAAATAGCAAATGGCCCCAGTAGAGTTTTTAAGGAACTCTCAAAAGCTCCTTCTCCAACCTCACAAGCCAGACCTCCATCATCTACACTCACCTCAGCATTGTTTCCCACGTTCTAAAAATAGTTCATTAATCTCTGAACATCAGGTGGCTTTTCTGGTCCAAAGTCCTTCCACAATCCTCCCAAACACATGGTCCAGTTAGTCACATAAATAGATCTGGTACCAATTTCTGTCTTAGTTAGGGTTTCTGTTGCTTTGATAAAACACTATGACCAACACTAACTTGGGGAGGAAGGGTTTTATTCTGCTTACACTTCCACATCACAGTTCATCAAGGAAGGAAGTCCAACACAACAGAAACGTTGAGGCAGGAACTTGAGCAGAGGCCACGCAGGAATGCTTCTTACTGACTTGCTTCCAGGGCTTGCTCAGTGTGTCTTCTTATACACCCTAGGACTACCTTTCCAGGACTTGGAGCTCCCCCAATGGGCTCAGTCCTCCCACATCAATCATTAATCAAGAAAATGCCCCCAGAAACTAGCCTCCAGGCAAGCAGATAGAGGCATCTTTCTCAATTAAGATTCCCTTTCCTTCTTCCTAGCTATGTCTAGGTGTGTGCCACATTGACAAAAACAAAACCCAACACAGTCATGAATCTGGCAGAGAGCCCAGTATGAAGGAAAGAGAGTGGTAAGGATGAGAGGGAGGTAAGAGAGGACGGCATAAAGAGTAACCCACAAGTATGAAATTGTCTAAGAACAAAACGAAGTCTGCAAATATCCCTTTAAGAAGGGTCTGCTCTGAGCAACCAAATGTGTTTGGATCTGAAGTAAAAGCATGTTTCCTATCCAGAAGTCAGGAGCTCTCCCTGCATGGGATCCCCCTGTCTCAGCACACCTCAGTCAAGTCAGTGCTTTGAGTCTGGATCTCACTCCTGATACCAACGTATGGTAGACACCGTATATGAACATTTTAAGGGAAATCATTGTGTTTCTAGCAGAAACTGCAATGGATCCTGTATCATTTATTCCCTACAAAGTCAAACCTGGGCTATATTCTAAAAAACTGGTCCAAGGTTGGTACTCAGACTCTCAAGAAAAAGCCAGATTACCAATCCTATTTTCTTTGTAACAAAACTTTGCCTTTTATCCCACTCCAAGGCTAAGAACACTGGCTGATAGTGGCACATTAAGCTCTAACTGTATCCTGCACTTAGACATCATTTTTCATACCCTCAGAAAATAACTCAGAAATTCCTGGCATCCAGACTTTCATGCCATCTCAAGACCTTGAGCTGTGGGAGAGATGTCACATGGGCCTCTCTGGATTCTCTTACAACAATCGTTTCCTGAGATGAGCTAGAGAAAACAATCTGCTGTCTTTTCTGCACACCATGCCTCCACACAGGCTTCAGCCTCATCATTTAACTGTGCCTCAGCTTATCCATGATGCTCCCACCTTCCCTGGTGTGACCTGTCCACCCTTCCCTCTGTCCCCAGTGCCTGTGGGGCTTCCTGACCCTGTGCAACCTTTCTCTGTGTATCTGCACTGCGCTTCTTAACCCCATGATATATGAACCCTTCCCAGTTCACCTGAACAAACTAATTCTGTTAACTTAGGATTTACCTTACCAAATTGATGGGAACAAGTAAAAAATGACCTAAAGGGTTGTGCTGAAAATAAAACACGTAGAGATGAAAGGCAATGCCTCAAAATATGGGAACTCTGGGATTAAATTTTCAGAGTAATTTCTGAAAACCATTAAATGACATTAAAATATTCATAAGAGCACTTAGCTGGCAAAATCACATTTTGTGACCTTTGACAAAGCGATATATTAGATGATGCATAATTTCTCATGTAAGATAGGAGAATTAGCATTAAGAGAAATAAAGGCATTAACCATGCCATTTTGGGGAGATTTCAGGAGAGAGGCATGTATCTGTGATTTGCAGAAAAAAAAAAATGTGGTTAATAGTTTCCTAAGGAGTGTCAACTATTTAAAACTTAACTATATGTGTGTGTGTGTGTGTGTGTGTGTATCCAAGTCCATTTAAATGAAAACAAAAATTTATAGAAAATATTTGGGAATTTGGGCGTCATTCTTTCCAAACTACTTCCTGTTGGTAAGGGGCGCTGTCATGGGGGATTCTAAGAAGATGCAGAAATCCTGGCTGTAGTCTGTAAGGCTGCTTTGTCCAGCTGTTTTTAATGTAGAATCACCTGGTACTCTATTTCAGGTGGTCTGGCTTGATCAAACCACATTAGTCTAGACTTTTATTTCAATTATTCCCATTTCCTCTTACAGCCTGTATCTCAACTACCCAGGTTCTGCCACCCATCAATAAACCAAATAATGCCAAAATAAATAATTAAATAAAAACCCACAAAGGTTTATTCAATGTAGCCACACTGGGAAAAGGGGAAAAGAGATCCATTAACTTGCTACTCCATCTTCAGAATCTGAAGGATAGGTATTTCTTTTAGAATATAACAATCCTTGCTATTCGGGCCAGCAACAGTTATGGAAAGGCATGTGAATATACATGGTGACTCTGTTTTCTTAATTCCTACAGTTTATTTGATTTTAAGAGTAAAATATTTCAGTGTAATAAATAACAAAAATTTAAGTGGGTTTTGCAGATATAAAGGAAACACATATATATAGTAAAATTTGATAAATACTAATATAAAATTCATAAAACTAGAACATAATTATCCTCCTAAAACTCCTTAATTCCTAGTTACCACATGAAGGTGATGAACAAATATGTAACAAATGGAATAATATCCTCCAAATTATTTGAAAGACACTGGCATCTGGGATACAGTGACCAGTTATTCAAGCAATTCTCAGCAGTATACAACCAAATCCTGTCACCTACCTCCCTTAGTAAGGTGGGATATATTATTGTCTATGATAGAATATGCTGTACAATAAAAACAGAGACACTACATTACAAACCATTCAAATTTATTTATTTAAAGAGGTAAGCTTCGCACACAAACTCTATTTTATACCTACTGTATATTCTCTGTGGGGAAAACTAGACTAAAATCAATCGGGAACTAGTCTTGTTCTTTTAACAGATTGAGATTTGTGCTAGCTTCTGTTTTCAAACATGAGGCCACATTGTAAATGTGGTTTCTTTCACAAATACATATCCTTACTGAGTTAAGTGCACAATTCTTCTGTCTGCAATAATTTATTTCCATCACATCAAATAATGTCCCATAATTAATAAGAAATATTTAGTTTAGATTTACATTATTCTATATATGTATAGGATTAACCACCTATAGTAATTCTCACACCCACTAAGTCTGACGTATGAGCTCTGCTACACTCTTTATGTTTACACAATTTCCTCAAGCATAACTACTTTGCTCACACATATTGGACAGAGTTCCTCCCAAAGTCAATAAATGCTAAGGTTTCTGTGAAGCATGGATTCACTGATGAGGAATGAGCATTCATTAAAAGTCCTGACATATTACATTATTAGGGCTCCCCAATGCAAACCCTCCGCTATCACTTAGGATATAAAAAAAAAAAAAAAAGCTAACAGACTTGCAACACTATTTGGACTTATAGGGTTTCTTTCATGCGTGAATGTTTACACTGTATATGTATATAACACTTATTAGTCACCCTTTTTCCATTTGACTTTCTCACTACCAGAGTTTTTTTGAGCTAAGAGTTGAATTATTATGAAAGGCCTTGCCACAATCCTTGAACCTCTAGTGTTTCCATTCCAGTATGAATCCGCTGATGTCGAATAAGGCTTGAGCTATTATTAAAGGCTTTACTACATTCTTTGCAAGTGTAGGGTTTTTCTCCAGTATGAATTCTTTGATGTTTAATTAGGGCTGAATGATTATTAAATGCTTTATCACATTCCTTGCATTTATAAGGTTTTTCTCCAGTGTGAATTCTCTGGTGTTGGGTGAAGGTTGAGTAAATGCTAAAAGCTTTGCCACATTCTTCACATGTGTACGGTTTCTCACCAGTATGGATTCTCTGGTGCTTCCTCAGGTAAGAAGAACAGATAAAGGCCTGGCCACACTCAGCACATTTGTAGGGCTTTTCACCAGTATGAATTCTTTGGTGTAGAATAAGACATGAAGATTTAGCAAAGGCTTTGTCACATTCTTTGCATGTGTAGGGTTTCTCTCCAGTATGCAGTCTCTGATGATATTTAAAATACGAAGAACACCTAAAGGCCTTGCCACATTCCTTGCATTTGTATGGTTTTTCTCCAGTGTGAATTCTTTGGTGTACAAGAAGGCTTGAAGAATTAACAAACGCTTTGCCACAGTTTTTGCATGTGTAGGGTTTCTCTCCAGTATGAAATCTCTGATGATTCCTAAGGTATGAAGATGACCTAAAGGTTTTGTCGCATTCTTTGCATGTGTAAGTTTTCCCCCCAGTATGAAATCTCTGGTGATACTTAAGGTATGAAGAACAGCTGAAGGCCTTACCACATTCTTTGCACTCATAGAGTTTCTCAATAGTATGAATTTTCTGATGCTTGTGTAGGTATGAAGAACAGATGAACGTCTGACCACACTCTTCACATTTATAAGGTTTCTCTCCACTGTGAATTCTCCCATGTTGGTTAAGGTGTGAAGAACAGTTAAAAGCTTTGCCACACTCTTTGCATTTGTAGGGTTTCTCACCAGTATGGATTCTCTGGTGCTGAGAAAGTGATGAGCGAAAAATAAAAGCCTTGCCACAATCTGCACATTTGTAGGGCTTTTCTCCAGTATGAATCTTCTGGTGTCGAGAAAGGGCTGAGCAGTTATAAAAGGCTTTGCCACACTCTTCACACTTGTAGGGTTTCTCTCCACTATGAATTCTTTGGTGTTGAGTGAGAGCTGAGCAATTATTAAAGGCTTTGCCACATTCCTCACATATGTAGCGTTTCTCACCAGTGTGAATTCTACGGTGTTGGTTAAGGCTGGAAGAACAGTTAAAAGCTTTGCCACATTCTTTACATTTGTAGGGTTTCTTTCCAGTGTGAATAATTCTGTGTTGTTTAAGATGTGAAGAACAGTTAAAGGCTTTGCCACACTCTTCACATTTGTAGGGTTTCTCTCCAGTGTGAATTCTCTGGTGCTGAGAAAGTGATGTGGGAAAATTGAAGGCCTTGCCACAAGCCGCACATCTGTAGGGTCTTTCTCCAGTATGGATTCTTTGGTGTCGTGTACGGGCTGAGCAATTATTAAAGGCTTTGCCACACTCTTCACACTTGTATGGTCTTTCTCCAGTATGAATCCTCTGGTGCTGCGTGAGAGCTGAAGAATTATTAAAGGCTTTGCCACATTCACATTTGTAGGGTTTCTCCCCAGTATGAATTCTGTGGTGTTGGTTAAGGCTTGAAGAACATGTAAATGCTTTGCCACATTCTTTACATTTGTAGGGTTTCTCTCCAGTATGGATTCTATGGTGTTTATAAAGTGTTGAACGAACATTAAAGGCCTTACCACATTCACCACATTTGTAAAGTTTTTCTCCAGGATGACTTTTATGGTGTTGATTAAGTGAATTCCAAGGAAAGGTCTTGCCACATTCCTTCAATTGATAAGGCTTTATTCCTGTTGAGCAAAGGTGGAAGTATCAGTAGAAGATTAACCACATGGCTATAATTATAAAGCTTACCTTTTATATGAATCCTTGCATCCATAGATACAACTCTAAATGTGACTTACTCTCATATTAATGAGAAGATAGACATGATTCCATAACTGTATTCACTGCAGCATTAATCAAAAAAATACAATAAGTGAAACACTACAGAGTTCCACTGAAAAGCAATGGAACATCATTCAAAAATTTTAAAGTACACTCAAGCCAGTGAAATCGCTCTGTGAATAAAAGCACTGATTACCAGGGACCTACATGGTGGAAAGAGTGAACTGAATCCTGTAAGTTGTCTTCTGTCCTTTATATGAACCAAAGCCTTCGGCAGACACACATACACACACACCACATTTAAGGTAAGCAGTAATAAAATATATATGATAAGAAAAACTCTTACGGGCAGTATGCAAAATGAAATACACCTATTACATAAGACAGGTATTATTTAATTAGAAATAAATGAAAATTCTAAAACAGAAAACCTCAGAGAACACTTATCTGAATGGTGACTAGATGGAATGAACAAAAAAAATTACAAAATTATTTTCCTACGTTTGTCTTGAGAGCTAAGCTATTTCTGAAAGATTTGTGGCATAACAATTTAAATGTACTGAACCATAGATCAAATATTTAAGACAATAAATTTCATGTTTATGTTAATCTCAGTTAAAATAAACAAAAGGCTATTGAGTGATTTTAAGATGTCAAGTTTACTTTTAAATACAGAAGTGTCAGTAGAGACAACGTATTTATCAATTGTTTATGAAATTATAATAACTTCTATAAATATTCACTTAGCAGGATAAAACAACTATTAAGTAACCAATGAAAAATAAATACACATAGCATGGAAATACAGGATTAGTATTTAATATATGAAGAAAGAACATCAGTTTTATCTGGAACTAGTCATATGACTTATACATTTTATTATCTTACATTGTCCTAAAAAGCCACCTCTAAAAACTGTCATCCAATCATAATGAAAGTTACATCTAAGGACATTATCAACAGATATGAAGGAACCGATACAAAGTGAAACACAGAAAATGCAATTGCAAGTTCTGAAATATTCTGAAAGAATATTGGTAAGCTACTAAAAATACTCATCTACCTGAAGCATTTATCTAACTATTCTTTATCAATAAAAATGTGGGAGTCAGATACCAGGGTAAGAACCTGAGTGATCAGAGAGGCAGCAGAAAACCAACCAATGACCTCTTCTTTCTCTCATTGCTCAACTGAAAAGGGCCAAGATGCTCTCAGCCCCACACTTCTAATTCCTGTGTCTATCTGGCCTCAGTCCTCCAAAACCTCTATGGCTAATTTTGGTCATTTAGACTCTGCCCTCTCATTCGAAGCAAACTTCATAGGCAGTTTTGGCAGCATCCGAATGCAACCAAAATATCCAACAACTTTTCCCCTTTTCTGTACTGCATCTTCCTCTGTCCCGCCATCTCCCAAATAATGACACAGAGATGTATTAATTATGAAAGCTCAGCCTATAATATAGGCTTGTTTCTATCTAGTTCTTATAACTTAAATTAACCCATTTACATTTATCTACATTCTGCCATATGGCTCATGGCTATTACCTCTCCTCCTATACATCCTACTTGCTCTGCATCTCCTGCTGTCTCCATCTTTTTCTTCCCCAAGTCCTCTCAGTCTGAAGAAGTCCTGCCTATACCTACTGGCTAGCTATTAGCCATTCAGCTCTCTATTGCACCAATCACAGCAATACATCTTCATACAGTGTGCAAATACTCTGCAACATCTACTTGTGTACAACATTTTGCTATCACGTCACGAAAACAATGCATCGTAAATGACTGACAATCAATGTATGGCAGAAAATTCACTATAATAATTTACAAAGACGTCTGATGGGACAACTTTAATTACTGAGCATGTAAATGTAATTAGAGGATTTATACAGAAGTCACTGGAACTGTGTACAAGTTTCTGAGACACAGAAAGCAATGACAAGTCTGTAATGATCCAGACCCTCACCTGCAAAAGGACAGATTTCAGTCACTTTAAATGCATGCAGACATCACTAGAGTGGAAGCACAGATTTGAGAAAATGAAAGCATGATAAGCATCTGTCAGAAAATGTCCTACTTTGAGAGATGACAGGTGGAGCATTCTACATCACCATTTTTTCCCTAAAATAGCCTCCAATCCATCCAGCCAGCTTTTGACACCTGCCTTGCGGTGGCATCGCTAAACCTCTCTTGTATGTTCTGATCTACTCATTCCCACATACCTGGGTATACAGCAACTGATCCTGGTCCCTTCACATTCCAGGGCTCCTTTCTTTGCTCAAGAAATGTGACCAAGTACGGCTTAGACAAAGCAAGACCTGTTAGGAAGAAAGGCAAATGTGATGGCTGTATGTCGTTCTCTAGGACTGACATTTATGTATCACTGTTGTATTTATAAGAAAAGAGGAAGTAAAACAAAAGATGGCAGAAAATAATTTCTTTAAATGTTTCCTGATGGAGATATCCAGCTTTACCTCAAGAAAAAAAAGTTAAAGCTGCTGGTAAAATAATTTATATTAAGATGTATGCTTCATACTTCATGTGTCTCGATTTATAAAATTCCAAGGAGAACGAAGGAGTCACACTACCAAAGCACCAAGGTTGAAAACACAAGGACTGTAATTAACTTCATCGGCTACAAATACAGCTTCCCCTAAGTTTCCTTAAAAGGAGAAATCTGACTTTGTGAAAGGAGTTTGGAGGCTTTATTTCTCTAGTTTATGGACTAATTTGAGAAACATTACTCTTATTTCTTCTTTAAAAGTTTGGTAAAATTATAAAACGAATCCACTAGGACATGGGCTTTTTGAAGTTGGAAGGTTTTTGGGTTTTTTTTTTTTTTTTAATTATTACTTCAATTTCATTGTCTGTTGTAGATATCCTTATTTATTTTATATTGCCTCAATTTTGTTAGTACATATGATCCTGGTATTAAAACCAGAAAAGGGCACAACCAAAAAGAAAGCGAGAGAAAGAGAACAAGAAAAAGAAAATAATAGCCCACTATCTGTGATGAACATAGATGCAAAATTTCTCAATACTGGCAAAAAGACATCACAATGACTACCACCATCATCTGTACTTCATCACTCATATGCAAGGATAGTTCAACACATAAATCAAAAAAATGCAATTTACTATATAAACAGACTCAAAGACAGAAATTATGAAACTATACCAAGAAGTACCTATGTTTGCAGATAATTTGACTTTTTATATAAAAGACCCCAAAGACTCCACCAAGAAGCAAGCAAATCTGAAAGACACTTTTAGCAAAATGACAGGATACAAATATCAGCAAAAATCAGTGCCTTCCTATACAGCAAAAGCAAAGAAATTCTCATTCACTAAACCCATCCCCAACCCAAAGAAAAAGAAAAGAAAATACATTGAAAAAAAAAAAAAAAAAAAAAAAAAAAACCTAACCCAGGAAATAAAAGACCTCTGCAATGAAAGTTAAATCACTGAATAATAGAAACTGAAGGGAAAAAAATAAAAAGAAATTGAAGAAAATACTGGAAGATCAGAAACTCCCTGTGCTTATGGATTGAAAGACTTAATATTGTGAAAATGACCATTCCACTAAAAGCAATTTACATTTTTCCTTGCAATTCCAATAAAAATTCTGAGCCCATTCTATGAAGAAAATTTTTTCCAAATCTTAAAATTTATATGAAAGCACAAAAGAGCCTCAGAAGCCAACGTAATACTGACCAAAAGAACACAGTAGGAAATGTAACTTTGCCTGAATTCAAGACCCAATATGGGACCACAATAATAACATAGAATACGCTTGGCACAAAAACATAGACCCATTTTATAACTTCACCAAACTACAGCCCAACAGATATAGACAAACATACCAAAAATTCACACTGAAAAGAAGGCTCTCCATAGTGGTACAGAGATATTGGCTGCCAATGTGTACAAGAATGAAACTAAATAAAACTAACTTCAAAATACATCAAGGATCTCAATGTGAGACCAGAAACTCTGGAAGTGATTGAGGAAAACATACTGCATCTCAAAACAGGGCTAAATAAAGTCTTTCTGAACAGGGCTGTGGTCACTGAAGAAGGTTAACAATTGAAGAGCTAGACCTTCAGAAATTCAAAAACCATAAGAGAAGCAAAATAAACTGTTACTTGAATGAAAAGGCAGCCTGAAGAATAAGAGAAGATATCCAGAAGCTAATACCTGTGGCAGGAAATACCGTGACTAGCATGCCTCCAAAAAGTAAGCATTAAGAAAACAAACAATCCAATCACATATTGGACTTGGAAGCTGAACAGAGATCTCAAAAAAGAGAAACCCACGGCTGACATTTTACAAGTGTTTGTCATCCTTAGCTATCAGGGAAATGAAGATATAAAAACATTACTTTGAGATTCCAGCTCACCTGAATTGAAAAGACTATCATTAAGAAAACAAATGATGACAAATTTTGGCAAGTATGTACAGAAGGAACACACTTGAAGGGTGGCGGAAGTGTAAACTGATGCAGCCACTATGGGAATTGAAGTGAGGGATTTCTCAAAAAACTGAAAGTAAAACTCCGTAACTATCATATGACCCAGCCACATCGCTCTTGGACACAAACTCGACAGATTCCATCTCCCCTCAGAAATACTTGTATCTCCATGGTCACTGCTGCTGCTCCGTTCACAACAGCTGGGAAATGGAATCAGCTTACATATCCAATGAAGGATGAGTGGACAGTGAAAATGCCTTCTATATACACACAATAGAATTTTACTCGGGTATAGAGAAACATGAAGCTATGCAATTTGCAGGTAAAAGGATGGGCGAGGTAAATGAGAGCCAGAAACACGAAATGTCAATCGTTCCCTCTCATGTGTGGATCTTAGCTTTGAATTTCAGATTTCTCTGTTTCCTGTGGAGTACCTGTAGCAGACTGGAAGGTCACACTGAAGAGGGAGTGCCTGAGCAGACGGTGATACTACAATATCAGTGATAGGAAAGTAGAGTTAGGACTGACTGAGGGGGAGAAGGGTGTGTGTGGTGGGGAAGTCCAGTACCTGGGGGAGAGGATTAGCTAAAAGAAAGGATTTAAAAAGCCACACAGAATCCTATTGCTCTGTAAACTAATTTAAAGAATAATTTAAAGAAACATGTCCTGCATGGATGGACACTACTGCTCACTAAAAACATAGGTTTTGTTTGTTTGTTTGTTTGTTTTGTTTTTTTAAGTTCCATCACACAGGTAGAATACCTCTTATGAATTTCTGCTCAGGGTGTGCCAGGGACCACCAAAGCAATGCAAGTTTGCTCCATTCCTCTTGACTGCCCAAAAGACTAGCTCATAAGATATAATTACCCAAGTCATCACACGCTTCAGTAGTGGGACAAAAACATGTCAAGTTTTAAGAGAACTGGAAGCTTTCTTCTGGCCGGTCAGCTTTCACAGGATGGGAGGTGATGTGTGAAGGCTTTGGGGGTAGAAAGGAGGCATCTGTGAACCCTGAAAACTATAATACTGTGTAGAATGTTCCTTAACACTGTGTGAAGATGAGTCCCTGTGATTGGTTTAATAAAGAGCTGGATGACCAACAGTTGGCAGGAAGTGGTCAGGTGGGACTTTTGGAGACAGAGAGAGCTCTGGGAAGAAGAAAGGAAAGACTTCATGAGACACAGAGCAAGCACAATGGGCAATATGGAGATGCGGTAATAAAGCTAAGAAGCAGAAAGTAAATCAATACAAGTGGTTTAATTTAAGTTATAAGAGCTAGTTATAAACAAGCCAAAGCTATCAGATGAGCTTTCATAATTAATAAAAAGTCCCCCTGTCATTATTGGGGAGCTGAAGGTCCCAACAAAAAAATCTGCCTACATAATACCAACCTACTGGGCAAGATGTGTTCACGGGCATGACTATTACAAGTAAACAATAGCTCATGATTGGTAAAAGCTGTGCCTGGGGAGGTCCTAGGCCCTACAGCTGTTGTTTTATAAAATGCACATGATGTCAAACAGACTTTTAAATGTTTGTATTTATGTGCACATATTTGTGCTGTTCTCAATGTTAATGAGAGCAGCTGCGACTGGCAGTTGGTGGTGGCTAACATAGAGACTCATAACTAGCCAAGGTACTATGAATAGCTGACTGGTGAGTTTTCAACACTAAATGGGCATCTATAAAAATCCTTCTACGGTTCAGTAAATGTTATGGAAAAGGAGCTGGGAAAAAACATCTAAGTTGGGGGGAACTGGAAAGAGTCCTGTTGAGAAAGTCTTCTAGACAGTGCATGGCTATTCAAAGCAGTGAAGGTCACTTGCACAGGGCCTTCACCAGACATGGTCCATCAACAGGGGTCTGTGGAAAGGGTCAGATAAGGGTGAGTTTAGTCAGTGTACATTACATGCATGTGTAAAATTGTGAAATAATTGTTTCATAATGCAAAATCAGAAACTCACTGTTGGAAAGCACAAGTTCCCATTAGATAGTCTACAAATGGAGGAAGTTACACGTTTACAGAGAATTAAGAATTCACTGTGGATGAGATCCTCACCCAGGAACACGAGGTGGCTGTAATTCTCCAGCATCACATCCCTATACAGACTCCACTGAGCAGGCTCCAAGCATTCACGCTCCTCTGCAGAGAAATCAATGGCCACGTCCCTGAAGGAGAGCAGCCCCTGAAATGAAAACAGATGAAGAGTATATGTTAATTTAATTAAGTAGTGTAGCTGGAAGCTTACTATCAATATAGAAATAATATGTAGTTGGAATCGTAATTTTTAATTTCACACAACGCGAAAGAGTAATAGCACAGTGAATGACATGCTTTTTCATAATAGCTTATACATTATCCATCTTCAGGGAAAGAAAATGACATATGCCTTAACAAACCCATATGTATATTTCCAGATACACAAAATAGAGCATGAATACAATATGTATTTCACATACTATAGTGGTGTTGTATACACTGCTCATAGGAGAAAGTTGCACTGAGTTAGAGTGGTTCTCCTCAACTGTTACACATGAAATGGACATGCAGATTCTGATGCAGCAGCTCCTGGGGAAGGGCTGAGTCTCTGAATACGTACCCACTTCAGTACTGAGGTAAATGACAGCATACCAAGGGACACTTGTTTGAGTACCCAAGAGGGCAACAATAAGGGAAGAATTCACAGATAAAAAAGGAACTGGAAGATTTTTAACAAATTTATACATTTGAAAAATAAAAGTACAATGCTTTTAAATTAAAAAAAAATATTAGAACATTAGATGTCACTTTAAAGTTTTTTATTTCGTTTTTCTTCTACATCTTCTCACCCCACCCTGTTTAGATAAATGATGGGGGACATCGTTCTGTATATATGTTTCTCTTATTGGTTGATGAATGAAACACTGTTTGGCCAACAGAGGCAGGAAGATAGGCAGGACTAGGAGATGAGGAGAATCTTGGGAAGAGTGGGCATAGAGAGAGAGAGGGAGACCCCGAAGAGACGCCATGTAGCTGCCAAAGTAGTAACAGGTCCAGGCATTCTCTGGTAAGCCAAGACCATGTGGAAATACACAGATTTATAGAAATGGGTTAATAATTAAGAGAGAGTTGGCCAATAACAAGCCCTAGCCCTCGGCCAACAGTTTCAGAAATTAATATGTGCCTCTGTATGCTTATTTGTGGCTGAAGGACAATGGGACCTAGTCAGACAAGAAACTCTAGCAACAGATAAATATTCATCTATTTGTTGGGGAGATATGGGAAGGCTCAAAGCGGGCTCTGTACATTAGTCCCTACGTTCTTCATGGCTAGCAAGTCACCTATCTCCCACTATATAGAGAACTCAAGGTTAAGCTGAAGCACAGTAAGACCCAGACAATAAATGTGGAGCTGATTGTGAGGAAACCTGATCCATGGATTGTTCTGAATCAACAATGAGATCTCATTGTCTCAGAGTATCTACCATGTTATTCATGACTCCCAGTATCCCACTTAGAAAAGCAGAGTGTGTAACTGAGGGACTTTAAGGTAGAGGGGTGACCTTTGTGGAATCCACCTCCACCACGCCATTTGGGAATATTTCTGTTTCATGTTGTACTGATGAAGACAATGTGAAGTTTATGTACACATGGATAGAAATTACTGAACACATGTGTTCAGCATGACAAACTGTGGAGGTATGAATGAGAATGGCCCCTAAAGGTTCTTATTTCTGAATGCCTGGTCCCTGGTTGGTGGAACTGTTTGGGAAGGTTTAGGAGGTGTGGCCTTGTTCCAAGTGGTGTGCTACTAGAGGTGTTGAGGTTTGAAAAGACTCATGCCATTTCCAGTGCCCCCCCCCTTCTCTTTCTCTGCCTCATGGCTGTGTCTCAAGAGGTTAGCTCTACGCTAATGCTCCAGCACCATGCCTGCCTGCCGCCATGCTCCCTATCACGATTGTCATAGACTCTAACCTTCACATAAACTCTTTCTTCTGTAAGCTGCCATGGCCACAGTTTCTTATCACAGCAACAGAACATAACTAAAACACAAACCCAGAGATAGCTATGTTAAAGGAGACAGAACACACATGATTTGAACGAGGCCAGATATTCTACCACACCCCACATTCTCAGCTCTGCAGCTCACCACAGACTGGATGCCCACTTCCCTGAGATACACAGTGCCATTTCTACACGTTTCCTTCCATGTTCTGTTGTTTGGGTTTGAGTCTTCTCTCTCTCTCTCTCTCTCTCTCTCTCTCTCTCTCTCTCTGTGTGTGTGTGTGTGTGTGTGTGTGTGTGTGTGTGTGTGTGTGTTTATTTTTAGAGTACCCTTAAAAATAATAGGTTTCATCATGACATCCTCATCTACAGACCATTACTCTTTCTTTGCATTCCTGTTCCTCCCCAGCAGTCCTCTCTAATAAAAAAACATAAATTGTGTATTTTTCTTATTCTAAGAACTGAGCAGCTTCAGGTACATAGCGAAGTTAAGCAGGAAGTACACAAACTCCCATTATGCATCCATATCTTACGCCATTCACTATTCTCCATCCCACTGGCAGAGGGGTGGGTTTGCTACAATGGCTACATACTGACATGCTTAGAGGCCCCCTTGAATAACCCCTCTTCCTTCCCAGCTGGTTCTCCCTTTTCCCCCAGTTAGTTGCCCTTTCTCCTTTCATATTCCATATATTGTGTATATGAACCACATTTCCTTTGTCCAAGTATCTGTTAATGGGCCCCTATGCTGGCCTTACTTGGCAGTCAAAAACAGGGAGGGGATAAGTATTGCTCCAGGATACTGTCTTAAAACCCTTCTGGTACACAGGAGAATGGTATAACTAGGGCATTTGATTTTCCCATTTTCAGTATTTTGAAGAACTTCTTTACTGAGTTCTGTAATGACACATACCAACCATCAGTGAATATTTCTTCTTTCCCACACATCTTGTGAACACCTAATGCCATTCATTTACTCAATCATGCTGACTAGGGTGAAGGGGAATCTTAAAGTCGTTTTAATCTGCATTTCTCTGATAGTTGAAATTGCTGAGTTTTTTTTTTTTTTTTCAAATTATTCCTTGGCCATTTGCATTACCTCCTGTTGAGAAATATCTATTTATTGGACAATTTGTTGATTGAATGGTTTAGTTTTGACCCGCTTAATTTCTGCATTACTTTTTCTGTATTTAGAATTAGTACCCTGTGGGAATATTATGTTAAGGTGTGTTACTTTTGTTTATGTTGCATTTGTTTAATTCTCTGAAGCTGTGTTAACATCGCCTGTCTAGACACCTGATGGTCTAATAAAGAGCTAAAGGCCAATAGTGAGGCAGGAGCAAGGATAGGTGGGGTTGGCAGGCAGAGAGAATAAATAGAAGGAGAAATCTGGGAGGAGAGGAGAAGTAGTAGCCAGAGAAGGAAGAGGATGTCAGGGGTCTGCCGTCTAGCTACATAGCAATCCATGGAGTCAATGTAAGATTTACAGAAGAGAATGGGAAAAGCCCAAAGACAAAATGTAGATGTGATAATATAAATTAAAGAAAGCTGGGGAAAAAAAAAAAAAAGCCAAGCTAAGGCTGGACATTTCTAAGAATAAGCCTCCATGTAATGTATTTGGGAGCTGGGTGGCAGCCCCCCCCCCCCAAAAAAAAAAAAAAAAAAAAGAGTAAAACACATCACAGTACTACTAGTACTACAGCTACTTCAGTACTCTGTCCGGTATGTCACTAGCAAGGATTTTCCCCATTCAGTAGGTTGACTCTTCACTCTAGTTAATACATTTAATTTCGTATATCATCACAATTGTTCATTCAAGGGACTATTCCCTATGTTATTCTATATATGAAATACAGTTGTCCCATAGTAGCTGTTAAAGACTTTGTTTCTTTTTTCCAGTATATGCTTCTGATAACTTTGTCAAAAATTAAGTGGTTTAACTGGGCCCTGGTGGTACATGCCTTTAATCCCAGCACTCAGGAGACAGAGACAAGCAGATCTCTGGGATTCAAGGCCAGCCTGGTCTACGGTGTGAGTTCCACGACAGCCAGGGCTATATAGTGAAACTGTCTTTAAACATTAAATGGTATATTTGAGTCTTCTATCTTATCCCATTGGTTTACATACATGTCAATGTTTATGCAATACCGTGCTGGTTTTGTTAGTATGAGTCTGTAATATATTTGACATCCAGTATTGTGATACTTCCAGCATTGCTCTTTCTGTTAAATATTTCTTTGACTGTTTTTCATTTGCTTTTATATTTCCATATGAATTTTAGGATTGCTTTTCTAGTTCTGTGAAGAATGCCAATGTATGGTATCCTGGGACTTCATGCAGTGGTAGGCAAACACTACCTACTAAGTGACATCAGTAGTCCTAGTCTGTATAACATCATCGGTGTCTAGAAATTTCTCTTCTAAAAGTCTCTTGACCTGGAAAATGCAGCACAAGAAAGGGTAGATAATGAAGTGAACTGTTCAAGATGTTTATGTACTTTGGAGCCTAAACATCCCAAGCCCTAGAAAGACACATGCTACAGACAAGAACTCCTAGTTATGAATTTTCTGTGTGATGCATTTAGAAAACTTAATGGTAAATGGGTAAAACCCCATGGGCCACAGCTCCTTCTACCCATACATGCCACCTATGAGACAGAGTCCAACATTTCTTTACCTTATTCTTGCCCAACTCTCTTTGTTTAATAAACACCAACTCTGCTTCATGTGAGCTCATCCTGAAATCCTTTTCTATGGCAAAATCAAAGAGTCAACTTTGGTGGAGGTCCCTTGTAGATTAAAGGAAGTCATCAGGTGGTTGGTAGTTCTTAGTTGTGTTACCCATGGATGAAACAAGTTGTGTTTCTCACCTCTAAGTAAAATGATCATATATACCTCTGGGCATCAATGAATATTCTTAGCAGAGGACAATTAACACTTATGCTTAACTACTAAGATAGTCAAAATGTAAGCAATATTTTCATCTTGTATATCTCTGACCATAACAGTCCACTTTCATGCTTTTATCCCTATTAAATGACTTTCTTCTCAATACTAATTCTCCGATTATGAGACAACTTTAAAAATCCAACAGTAAAGCCACAAACAACACACATGCACACATTATAAATCAACATGGCACTATGTCTAATCAATGATGATTGAGCTGTGATGGTGTTTCAGATACAGTATCAACAACAAAATGCTAAGCATCTAACATGGATCATTTCTTATAAATTAACACACATCCCTCCAAATTTCCTTCTTACATCTCAAATGTTTTGTCCATTCCCAGTGGGATTCTGCCACTTCCTAAATTAATTAAAGATATAATTAGGTCCTGTCTTAACAGGGTAAGTCACGAAGGAAGAGAACAAAGTGACAGATAACCATCTGCATAGTGCACAGAGGGGTAAAAAGTACAGAATGGAAAAGTGAGCAAGGTGCCCTACGTCTGAACCAGCATGCAGGAGTCAGAAGCAACAGAAGTTAAAGTCAATGTCAGTTACATGGCAAGTTTGAGGGCAACCTGGTCTTCACAAGAAGTTTTCTCAAAAACACAGAACAAAGCACAAAAGAGTGTGTGTGTGTCAGGTACATGCACACGAGTGTAGTACCCACAGAGGCCAGAGGCACCAGATCCCCTAGAGCTGTAGTTACAGACAGTTGTCAATTGCCCAACATGAATGCAAGGAACTGAACTCAGATTCTCTACAAGAGCAGCAGTGCCATCTCTTCAGTGGACAGGAACTACTTTAATCCTTTCTTTCAAGTTTTATTTATTTTTACTTTATGTGGACAGGTGTTTGCCTGCATGTATGTACATGTGAGTCCGATGTCAAAGTGGGTGTTGTATCTATTCCACGGATGAATCTCTTAACAGTTCATACAATCCTGAGCATTCAGACCTAGAGACATACAAGAAACACCAAATGGATTTTCTTGTCAGGCTGTGTTTATTCATGTGAATGTGAGTGTGAGTGTGTGAGTGTGTGTGTGTGTGTGTGTGTGTGTGTGTGTGTGTGCGCATGCGCACGTGCACACACATACACGCGAACATTTAAAACAACCTCTCACAAACAACACACCTCGTGCAAACATTTGAAACAATGACTAAGAGGTCATGGATTTAAGAGAAAGTGGAGGAAATGAAAAATTGAAGGGGAGAAGAAAAATAGAAATGATGTAAATACAGTAATCGTGTATAGAACTCTAAAAAGAGGTTTAATTAAAGTAATGGACAGGGACTAACATAGTGTTTTAATCTCCTTTCCAGTTGCAGCAATAAAATAATCTACACACACACACACACACACACACACACACACACACACACACGGGGGGGGGGGAACCTAGGGGTGAAAAGCTCAGAGTTCTAGACTAGAATCTATCAATGCCAAGATGTCAAGGCAGTAATAACTTGAAGCAGCTAGTCACATCAGCAGAACGGAGAGAGAAGAAATGCATACACGCTCCTAGGGTTCAGTTCGATTTCTTCACTGTTACACAGTCCAGAACCTAAACTCAGGGAATGGTGAGGCTCACAGTGGGATGTGGTCACCCCACATCAATTAAATAATCAAGGAAATCTGCGAGGCTAACCTGGTCTAGACAGTTTGTCATGGAGAATCTCTTCCCAGTGACAACTAGATTGTGTCAGGTTGAGAATTTGGACAAATTGTCACACTTCCAATACACCAATAGCCCTCGGAGAAAACTAACAGGCTATAAGCGCAGGAGGGCCCAGAAATTCCACTTATTCCAGACAGGCCAAGAACTTCATGAGACCAACATCCATCAAGACAGTGTTGTGTAGTAATGGCATTGCTCCTCTGAGACAGGCTGTCAACAGATGCACCCTGCGTGGGCAAAATCCTACACCTGTCACCTTTCTCCAGTCCTGGGCTACCGAGCCAGCTCCTGTCTCAGCACTCAGGGCAGGCTAAGGCAACCTCCTCCTAACAGAGTGGTCGCTCCTGCATCATCCCCATCTCTCCCCAGTGCTCTCCTGCATCCAGAGGCAATGGCCCAGCCTGGGTCAGCACAGCACCTCCCACCAACCCCAGGACCTCTCCCTTCAACACGGACCCGCCCACCTCGCATTTCCCCTCTGGTCGCACTAAGTCCTGGACCAACCTCCATGTCAGAGATGCTACCAGAGCGCCAACAGGACCCGCGACACTGGCCCAACTTTGGAGAAGACGGCCAGAAAGCAGAGACGCACAGGCGCAGAAGGAACGCGGAAGCGCCCTTCCCAGAGTCCTTGTTTGTGACGTCGCCGCGGACGAAACTACATTTCCCACAATCCTGTGCCAAGCGAGTTGCCGGGGAGCCAGGGAAGGTGGTTTGTGTAGTTGCTGGGTTAGTGTCAGACTGTTTGCACAAGAGAATGGGTAGAAACAAGTCCTGTGTGCACGTGTACAACCACGGGGAGTCAGGCTGCCGCATTTTAAATCTCAAGTTCTCAAAATGAGATGTTTGCACGTGAGTCGAACCTTTGACAGCCATGTTTATCAGATTTACTGCTTACTTTTGAGTCTGTATGTTGTGGTTTAAAACTACAGGATAGTTTAGATATTTTCCCCCCCTCAGGTTCTGAATACAGATGCTCAGAAACACATTTTGGAAAATCAAGTCTTTTGATAATGATGGACATTCGCAATGGGGGCGGGGGGCTGGAATATGGAGGCAATCCAGCAAGAGCAAAGAATTCCTTTTTTAGTAGAGTTCAGAGGAAAACCTCCTTGAGTTTATCGCATTAATGGGAGCTCTAGGTTGTAATTTTGGAAGTTAGTTCTATCACACTGCGCTACGTAAGTGCTATTACATAGGAATTTAGCCATTAAAATATCGTAGACAGCTACAATGCTGAATGCGGTTCATGGCATCTGCCATCTGATTGATAGAAGTGTTGAGATCAGTCTATGCGCTACTCAAAAAGTTATGTCATGTTGTTTAAAGGGGGTTTTCAGGCTATGCCCTGCCCTGAGGGGATCCATTTTGAGGGTGGAGGATGATGCCTCCCTGGGAGGACAAGTGACATCTGTTCGTTAGGATTTTCTTCCACATTAGACTTCAGCCAGCATGTTCAGTTCGTGTCTTCCCTGGCCCTGAATTTACTCCTCAGTATGTGTTCTGAAAACCGAAGGTATCTGCCTTGAACTTCTCTCACGAACTCAGGATGGAAAAGCAATTATACCCTGGAATACAAGGTCTTCATAATTATGTTTCTGAAAATACAAAATGAAATAGATGTTGATCCAGGACATTCTCTTCCTAGAAGAGGATGGTTACCTGCCATGACCATTTGGGAGGAATCATCCCATTTCTACCAGCGTTTTGTCACAGATGTTAAATATCCTGCCTTAGAATCCCCAGTGGAATAACAAACTGAAGACACATCAAGAACCTGGGATTTTTTTTATCATTAGAGGAACCAGGGGTCAATCACCAGATACCATCCATGTATTTTTTTTAAAAATGGGCAAATGTTCTGAAATGACAATTCTAAATATGTGAAGTCAAACAGACAGTATGTGAAAAAGTGCCCAGTCTGAGTATTTGGAAATTCAAACTAAAGGTGCTTGCATAAAACCAAGTATGGTTTTACATGTTGGAAATCCAACATCTGGGTACTGGAGACAGGAACATCAGAGGTCCAAGGTCATCCTTAGGTACATAGCAAGTTTGAAACAAGTTTGGTATTATGTGGCACTCCACCACCACCACCCCAAAAGAACAAAACAATAGAAACTGAAAACTCGACAGGTAAATGAAGACTAGGAAAGAGTGAAAGAAACTGTAATTTTGGGCTTCTAGAGAGACTTCATTAGTTTTCCCCTAATGATTACCTGATAGAAATAGCCAAAATCTACGCAATGTGTAGTTGGAGTGCATTCAAACCATTCTAGAATTTGATAAGAAATGTTTGTTCAAAATTAATCACTCAGTAGTTAATTCAGATGATAGTGTTGTCAAACAACATAACAAAAACTACTCAAATAATTTGGTTTAAAATTGGACATATATAGAAATTATTTTTCCAAATGAGACATACTAATATCTAATATATATGGGAGGCACTCAATATCACTACAGGATATTGACAGCTCATAATTTGCAATCCATAACACAGTAGTCTAAAGGATTCTAAATATCCCTACCATGAAAATCATCAACGCTAGAGCTAGATCTGCAAATTTCATTTATTATATAATTAAATATGTCAAAACCATAGTGTACAGCATATACAACTAGTTACTTTGGGTCAATAATGAATAAGCACTTATAAATGAAGAATGCCATGAATACCTAAATAAAACTACCCCTGTATTAGGGAAACTGAAAGTACATACCAGAAATTAAAATTTCTGATAAGATGGAGTAGGGAGAAAATGAGAGCTATAGTGTTGGTTACAAAGGACAGTGACTGTGTTGCACATGTAGCTGGAGGTTAAATGAACAACCAAAGAGTAAGATAACTAAGAAATGGAACATTCTCGCCACAAGCTCAGTGTTTGCTCTGAAGTGGCAGCACAGTTGTCTTCACCCATTTCTTCATCAATTTTCTTAAAAAAAAAAAAAAAAAAAAAAAAGCAAGAATACCATTCTGAGTCTTTTTATTTTGTATACAACGTTCTGCCTCCCTGTTGCCTACACACCAGAAGAGGGCACCAGATGTCATTATAGATGCTGTGAGCCACCATGTGGTTGCTGGAAATTGGACTAAGGATCTCTGGAAGAACAGTCAGTGCTTTTAACCTCTAAGCCATCTCTCTAGCCTCCCATTCTGATATTTTTTTACTAGGGGAGATTATTTTGTTTCTGTTGTTTCTAACAGTAATATATATGAAGCTTTCCCAGTGTTTCCTCAACATAATATCTCAATAAACATCAAATATTAAACCAAGATGAAAAGGAGTATGTAAAAAAAGAGATGTAATAATAAATGTGTAACTTAGTATATTTGCTCTGGTATAATTTAAAGGCAATTTCTGAAAAAATGTTAAATATTAGACACTATTAAACGCACATAATTGGTAAACTAAACCTTCCTTCTTTTATAAACAATGCATTTTGTGATGCAAGACTAACAGTAATATTAGATGTAGCATAAAAAGACTGAAAAGCAATTATTTCAGAGGAATGAACTCTATGAAAATCAGGGTGTGCCTGTGTTTCAGTATGTATGGTTGTCTGTTTGATAATAGGAAGTCAACTATTTCAGAATTACCTTCTGTGGCGATTTGGAAAAAAATGGCCCCCAAAAGGAGTGTTGCTATTAGGAGGTGTAACCTTGCTAGAGGAAGTATATCACCGTGCAAGTGGGCTTTGAGGTCTCATATATGCTCCAGCCACATCCAGTAAGATAGTCCATTTCCTGCTGCCTGCAAGATATAGACTTCTCAGCTACCTCTCCAGCACCATGTCTACCTGCACACCGCCATGTCCCAATAATGGACTGAACCTCTGAACTGTAAGTGCACCACAACAGTTGAATGTTGTCCTTTATAAGAGTTGCCATAGTCATGGTGTCTCTTCACAGAAAACCTATTTCAGCAGTCCCTTTTATCCTCAAGTTCTCTCTATGCCAAAGTTCATTTATCATTGCATATTTCAGCTGATATAAAGGATTACTAGCTAGGTGCACACTGTTACACTGAAGAGGTTCTATACAGTAAAAACCTTTGATAGAATTTGACATAAAATACAAGAGTCAAAAAGGGATAACTTTATTTCTATAAAACACATATAAAAGTAATTAGCAAGTGGATGAAGAATGATACAACATAAAAGACAATATGCTACAAATTACCTGAAGCACATTAACACTGGGAACAGACTAATCCACTAATCCCCAGTATAAATTATAATTTAGTGTCTAACTAAAATGTTACCTAGATCCCTTGTGTTCTAGTTTGTTTCTCTGTTACTTTGATAAACCCCATGACCAAAAAGCAACTTGGATAAGGAAGGGTTTATATAATTTTACATATTGCAGTCCATCGTTGAAGAAACCCAAGGCAGGAACCTGAGCAAAGGTCATGGAGGAAATGCTACTTACTCGCTTATTTCCAGTGTCAATTGCAGCCCTAGGGCTGGTATAGTCCACAGTGGACTGGGACCTCCTGTATTAATTGTACTTAAGAAAATGTAACAGTCACATTCATAGGCTAATCCGATAGAGACAGTTCTTTAATTGAGGTTCCTGAATGTGTCAAGAGAACAACCCAGATTAGCCTCACCAAGGTAGAATGCAATTCTATACACCACATTGAGAATGCACTTAAGAACTACTTATTTTTATTTACAAAAGTCACTAAACTTCAGATTCCAATAATGTATTGAATATTCCCTGGGAGAAAAAAAAGTTTCAGGACTTCGTCGTGTTCTTCTGATAAAACTTAGATTTTCACATTTTACAAAACTGAGCCTGTGTTATAATTTGGATTTATAACATATTGATACCTCACAGACTTGAGTTATCTGCATGATTCCAAAGTCTGTAATGAGTTGGAAAGCAGTATTTCATGCTTTGTTAAATTTTATACATACACTTCATGAAGTTTGTCTATAATCATTCCCTTCTATCTCTTAAGGTCTACATGATGAAGAAAGTCTTCCAACACTGCTTACACAGTGCTTTTTACTTTGCTTTTCTCATTGTTACATATTTGACTGTTCCATCCCAAGTCACTGTGCATGTGTGAATTGACTAGACTTCACTCATGGTTAGTGAGGATTTCCCACATTATTTGCATTTGTAGGGATTCCCTAAAATGTGAATTTGATGTTGCCTAAGTCTAGAATACTCAACACAGTTATCTTCTTCACCATCACAAGGTCTCTCCAGTATGAAATGTTCGATGTTGAATAAAAGTTGACTGTTACTAAAGGTCTTCCTTTATTCCTTTCATTTGTAAGGGTTCCCTCTCATCTGAACTCTTTAGTGTTCAAGTATCAATAAACAGTTACTGAAGGCTCTGAGACAGTGTTTACACTAATCTGAATTTTCACTGATATGAGTTCTGTAGTGTCGAGTGAAGCCTGAACAATTTTTGAAGGCTTTGCCACATTGTTCACATTTGTACGGTTTCTCTCCAGTATGGAGTCTCCAATGATGCTTAAGGTTTGAAGAAGAGTTAAAAGCTTTGCCGCACTCTTCACATTTGTAGGGTTTCTCTCCAGTGTGAATTCTTTCGTGTTGAGCGAGGCTTGAAGTATAATTGAAGGCTTTGCCACAGTCTTTGCATTTGTAGGGCTTCTCTCCAGTATGAATTCTTTGGTGTTGAATTAGATTATAACAGTTATTAAACGCTTTGTCACATTCTTTGCATTTATAGGGTTTTTCCCCACTATGTATTCGCTGGTGCTTCATAAAAGTTGAGCAAATGCTAAAGGCTTTTCCACACTCATCACACTTGTATGGTTTCTCTCCAGTATGAATTCTCTGATGGTAAATAAGGTTCACAGAACAGTAAAAGGCCTTGCCACATTCCTTGCATTTGTAGGGTTTCATACCACTATGGATTCGCCTATGCTTATATAGATAAGAAGAACAGCTAAATGCCTGGTCACAATCATCGCATTTGTAGAGTTTCTCTCCTCTGTGTATTTGTTGGTGTTGGTGAAGGCTGGAAGAACAGTTAAAAGCTTTGTCACAGTCTTTACATTTGTAGGGCTTCTCTCCAGTGTGGATCCTCTGGTGTTTAGAAAGGATGCAGCGAACATTAAAGGCCATGCCACATTCTTCACATTTGTACGGTTTCTCTCCGGTGTGAATCCTCTGGTGTTTAGAAAGGGTTGAGTGAACATTAAAAGTCTTTCCACACTCTTCACACTTGTACGGTTTCTCTCCAGTGTGAATTATCTGATGTTTAGAGAGTGTTGTGCGAACACTAAAGGCCTTGCCACACTCTTCACACTTGTAGGGTTTCTCTCCAGTGTGAACTCTTCGGTGAACAACAAGGCCTGAACAATTAGTAAAAGGTTTCCCGCATTCTTCACATCTGTAGCGTTTCTCTCCAGTATGGATTCTTTGATGCTTACCCAGGTATGAAGAACAACTAAAAGCTTTGCCACATACTTCACATTTGTACGGTTTCTCTCCGGTATGAATTCTTTGGTGCTGTTTAAGGCTGGAAGAATAGTTAAAAGATTTACCACATTCTTCACATGCATAGGGTCTCTCTCCAGTATGAATTCTCTGGTGCTGAATAAGGACTGAGTTTCTATCAAAGGCCTTCCCACATTCTTTACATTTGTGGGGTTTTGATCCTGTTGAAAAAGGTTTGAAGCATCAATACAAGCATACCACCATATTTTTTAATTACACAGCTCAATTTTTAATATTAATACTTTAAAATTGTGACTATTTTAACACATAAGCATCACACAAATGGCAAACTGTAGACATTTGCACACCTATATTCCCAGTAGCATCATTTAGAAAATAAAGTTGTAAACACACTAATCTACCACTGAACTGAGAATATGAAGACAATGTAGAACAAATAAATAATGGAAAGCTATTTACTTTAAATAGCCAAACTTATTATAACATCTAATTTAAAAAAATCTGAAAGGGCATCACACATTATATAAAGATTGTATTTTTGGTCTTACATGAAAACTCAAAGTTGGAACACAGGGCAAACAGGAAGCCAATATAACTGTAATAGATTGGTTGGAGGAAGAAATACAAAAAAACTTTTTGAGCATACATAGAGTTTTCAGCTTTCAAAACTCTAAAATCTTGTAAAGATTTATTTTAAGCAATACGTATGAAATATTTAAGAGAGTGTTATGTTTTACCAACAATAATATACATACTTAAAAAATCAAATTTTGAAAAAACTTTCTAGTTCACTTAGAAGTGGCATAAGTTTGGCTAAGGGTAACATGTCTGTCAATAAATACAAAAGTTGTACAGTTTCAGAGGGCAACATCTATTGACTAACCAATGAAGAGAGAAAATACACATGGCTTGAAATCAGGAATAATATTTTTATAGATAAATGATAACAGTTTCACTAGCAATGGACCTAGGCATAGGTATCTCAATATCTTACATTGTCCTAAAGAATACAGTAACTAGTAGTATCATCTAGAAAAATATCCTGGGTACATCTAAACATATTATCATATTATGTAAAGGTGTCTAGACTTTAAAAAGTCAAACACAGAAAATAGAATTGCAAAATAAGAAAAACAAGGATGAGTTTGAGACTCAAATATTTGAAAGAGTATGAAAGCTCTACTAAACAAAATATATCTAGATGTGTAGTTTCCAGCTATGACTACATACTTATAAAAGCATGGCATCTTAAATTCCTGTCATCAAGTATGTGGGTATATATTATAGGAATACATTATCGGAGCAGCAAGATGGCTCAGAAGGTAATAAAGGGCATTAACCCCAAGTCTGAACACCTCCATCCCCACAACCCACATAGTAAAAGAAGAAAATCAATTCTCGTATTTTGTCACCTGGTCTCAAGATGAGCAATGCTGTGTGTGTGTACACATGCACACACGTGAGAGCCCTAATGAAACTAGTTTGGCTAATGAGTGTGTAAATGAAATTAGAGATGCTTACCTGTGGTGTTGCTGTGCTACTAAGGCATTTAGAAATGTCTAGATGTTTTCTGATATATAGAAAGCAAAGAAAAGTGTAATAATCTAGACCCTCCCAGGCAAAATGAAAGGACTGGGGCTAGCAAGATGGCTCAGCAGTTAACACGCCTGCCACAAGTATGAAGTCTGTGGATCAGATACCCAGAATCTTTGTAAATGTGGGGTGTGCATGGAATCCAGCTTGTCCTTCCAGGCTTGAAAGATGAAGACAGAGAAATCCCTAGAGCGAATTGGCTAAGGAGACTAGCTCTGAGTTTGATTGTCAACATCAACTCTGGTGCTCCACAAGCACATGTACACAAGTGAACCTGTATGCACACAAGCACCCAAACACACGCAAACATGAATACAGACAAATACTACACACAGAGATACAAGAAAAGAAGTTAAATAAAGGACTTTGCCAATCACTGTAAACACAAAGCTTCCTGAGGGGAAGGAAGAGGATTATCAGGGTAAACATGCAGGAGAAGCCATTTGACAGCAAGAGATTTCTAGCAAAACACAACATCTCAATACACACTTTACAAATTGACTTGTCATTTGTGAGCTCTGCTTTGTTCATTCCTACACACCTGGATGGCTGGCAGCTACTGCTTTTTTCTTCACACTCCAAGGCTCTGAACTTTGCTCCAGAAATGTGACCAGATATGGCTTAGAGAAAGCAAGACCTGTTTGGAAAAGGGAACAAGATACTTGGTTGTTTTCTCCTGGAGATTAACATGGGAACCCCAGTTCTGTGCTTATAAGGAAAGAGGTGATAAATGATTGTGGAAAATCCTGTGTCTAAATGTTCCCTGAAACACTTAGGAGTAATTTACAACCTGCTGATCCTGAACCTCATTGTAAGGAGAAGTACTAAAGCTGAAGAGAGATTTTTTTCCTTAACACATGTGTTCTCTGCCTTGGGCCATTGAGCTAACATTGCCACTACAGGGCGCACACTTTGAAAAAAATCTTAAAAACACAGAAAGAAAATGTTTCTTAGCTACACTGACAATCCCCCTAACCTTTCCTTTAAAAATGGGCAGAGGCAACTAATCAATCAGCTGCACGGATATTGGCACATGCCTTTAATCCCAGCCTGGTCTACAGAGCAACTTCCAGGAGAGTCAGGGCTACATAGAGAAACCCCATCTCAAAAAAAAAAAAAAAAAAAAAAAAAAAAAAGGAAAACAAATCAATCAAAAGCACAAGCTCCCTGTGAGATAGTCTACAAATGAAGGAAGTCACATGTTGACAGTGAACTAAGAGTTCACAAAGGATGCAATCCTCACCCAGGAACACCAGGTTGCTGTAATTCTCCAACATCACTTCCTTATACAGACTCCACTGAGCGGGGCCCAGGCATTCCCACTCCTCTGCAGAGAAATCAATGGCCACATCTGGGAATGACAGAAGTTCCTGGAATAAAAATAAATGAGTATCAAAAATTAAACAGGACATTTAATAATATAAATATCAAAGTCATCAAGCTTATAGTCGCATTTATAAATATTGCCGGCATGTCCTGTTAACTGGATTCTTCAAAATGAATTATCCCTACTTGTAAGAAAAGAGAATGACATAAGAGCTAATGAACTTACAAGAATATAATTCTGTGAAATACAAAATGTAAAACTTACGCATGCACAAAAATATGTTTGGTGTGGTATGCTTGCACTATGTGCCACCCATCATGTACATTCTCACAGGGCAAAGACATGGCAATCAGGTACCTCTCAGTATACTAACACTTAGTAGACTCTATCCAGAAACTGAAATGCAGTGAAGATGCAGACTTGGATGCAGCTGTGGGCATTAAGATTATGCACTAACTTCACTGGTGAAGCAAGGAAAGTGCACCAGGGGAAAGGAACTTGAGCAGCCAATGTGAGAATAAAGGGAGAGTTCAGATATAATGGAATTGCAAGAATTTTACACACTCAAACAGCAAAGCAGGCATTTTCAATATTTTAAATACACTAAATGTGAGTCTAACCTATAAATACACTAAATGTAATTCTAAAGAGTTTTTTTTTCCTCTCTCTCTCTTCTCTCTCCTTCTGTCAGGTACTCATGTATCTGCTTTGTCCTAAAGCAGGTTTTGAACTCATGACACAATTGCATTGTTCTTCAAAGGCCTAGTATTATCAGTACATGACACTACCTTTTTATTTCTTCTCTTATTTTTGAATTCCATATTTCAGGTTCCCTATTTTTCTTAACTTAGTGTATAATGTTCAAAATGATCTATGATGGCAGTAATATTTTTACTATTTATATTAATTTATAAAATGAGAGATTTATATATCAACGAAGGATTTATGATGTTTGCGATTTACTTTGTTAGATATATACTAGTATTATTCAAATAGTTACTTTCATATTTAAAATGTTCATAAGCCTGTCTGTCACACACTAACGATTCTGTGTGATGACATCCTAGGCACCCTGCTCCTACCCACTCATCTCTTCCTCATTATCACTGGACCATTGGAAACACCTAGGTTTTAAGTTTCTCAGTTTTAAGCCCCAAAGTGTGGCATACCACTGAAACCCCTCTCCAACCCTCATCTCCCCGCACCCCCCCCCACACACACACCAAAGCCTAAAGTTAAGGCCCTAAACCCTCTATTATTTTTCCCCAGAGTCTCTGGTATCTGCGTAAAGTCTTGAGAAGACAAATTCAATACAGGAACTCTGCCCTTGTCTATCTGAGCTCAAAGCCTGACTGTGTCTGTTAGCAACCAGCTACTCCTAGGTGGGGGCAGCGCCTCTCAGCCTCAATTTTCTTTCTTGTAAAACAAGACCAGGATAGGCCATGGAAAGCACTTGGGACCTAGGACATGGCAAACTCTACCATGATACAAAAAAAATCAAAGTTCACAAGCAAAGGGCACAAGCATAGATCTCTGGTTTTACATCTTAAAAGAGAGTTTATGCTGAGTAGTGCTGGCACACCCCTTTAATCCCAACACTTGGGAGGTGAGGCAGGCAGATCTCTGTGAGTGTGAGACCAGCCTGGTCTACAGAGTGAGTTCCAGGACAGCCAGAGCTACACAGAGAAAGCCTGTCTCAAAACCGAACAATACAATAAAAATTAACTAAACTATTGGAAAGGCCCATATGTATATCTTCAACTTCAGTGAGATCAAATCCTTTGGAGTCTGTCTATGGCTCAGATCCTGCACTACTTCTCTTCCTAGGTCTGAAATAATAATCCTATCGATAGTGGCTAAACAGGACTGCACGGGACACATGTGTTTGTACCTATGAACATATGGAGAGCCTCTACCTTCTTTTCTCTGCAGGATCTTCTACACTTTGTCAAAAGACTTGCTGATGGTGATGGTAAAATGCAAAGTCATAAGGGTTCCCTGAGCTGTATGCAGCCTAGTCTCAGAATCTATTCTCATGTGAAATGTGCAAAGCAAAGCTGCTAGGAGGGATCATGGATAACAGCAACATTGATGTTAAGTTTGTACCCAAGTACACTGGAGCACGCACTGGGAAAAAATACTGTACATGGTCTTCAAAAACCCTAAAAATGCAACTATCTGAATGATCCAGGTAGACAGCTCCAAAGAAACCGAGCCAAGCCTACATTTCTAGGATAATAGTGACTTGATTGTAGTAGATGGTCTTGATGTTTGCCTGTATCTGGTTTCCATGACCCTGGCACTCATGGGGTCCCCACTGCAAATGAGGCAGCATTTTCAACAATGGCCTTCCTAGGCCTCTCACTGCACCAACCCCCAGCTGCTCTCCATCACCTCTTTGTGCTTTCAAAATCAGTACCTCGTGGAGACTCAGGCATTAGAAAGTGTAGCTGCCAGCTTGAAACTCAGTTTTGACCCTCTCAAGACCATAGCTCAGTGGTCTGACCATAGCTCAGTGGTCTGTTACCAGCAGTGAGTACCTCAATGGTCTGGTCTATCTTTAATCACAGCTGATTTCTCAGTTGCAGGTATCAATTGTCCCAATTAGGTAATGAGTTCTTGTCAGTGGTGCTATCTCTTTTTTTGTTCGGTTGGGTTTGTTTATTTGTTTGTTTGTTTGTTTGAGACAGGATTTATCTGTATTAACAGACTTGGCTATCCTGAAACTCACTGTGTAAACCAGGCTGGCCTCGAACTCACAGAGATTCTCCTGCCTCTGCCTCTCAAGTGCTGGGATTAAAGGTATGCACCACCACCACCCTGCAATGGTGCTCATCTCTTGTTAATCACAGCTCATTCTTCAGAAAGCTGAGGAGAAATCAGCAGAAGGTAGGGGAAACTGGGGATTATGGGAGTCTTTTGAAACCTGAAGCTTGACCCCAGTGACACAACTGCTCCAATCCGTTTAATCCTTCCCAAACAATTCACCAATGAGGACCAAGAATTCGAGTATATGACACTCTGGGCCCACTTTCATTCAAACCACCTCAGAATGTTTTTCTGGTTTGTGCACAGTGTTGAAAAAGAATGCAAAGTATACTGTGGTATACTAATCATCCAGGTTTTAAACCTTTACAATAACCATTAATAACAGAGATACAGCTGAAAGTACAACAGAGTAGAAAACAAGTTCAGCACTAAGGTGAACACAGTCTCTAGATGATTTTCTTAGGGTGTGCCTTTGTGAGGAATTCACCAGCTGTTGCTGGTTGCAGCACTGAAGGTGACACATGACTAGTACATAAAATAGAAAAGGACAGGGCTGGGATATAGCTTGTTGGAGAGACACTTGCTCAGATGTCTGAGATCTCGGTACAAATTCTTAGCAAAAAGCAGTAGTCAGTAGGAAAAGCCACCATGCTGTACTTGCTTACATCCTGGTCACAACCAAGGCAGGAATTAGTGGATAGCCTCCAAATTTCTGGCTCCATCCTCAGGATGTTAAGAGTGGAACAGACATTTATTTTGGTCTTGTTTCAGATCTGATCAAAACAGTAAACTCTGACTTGCCTCTCTCAAAGAGCATTAGAACTTGAACATTAGGTCCAAAGCCAATGAAAACACATGCCAAGGTCATTACACATGTTCTTCAGATCGCTTTGAGAAGCTCTAGAAATTCTAGCCCAGTAGATCATTGTTATTAATAAAGCCCACATATCAAGGAGAATGATAAGGCATGAGCATGGTGGTGTACCTTTAATCCCAGTACCCAGGAGCAGGAGGCAGAGGTAGGCAGATCTCTGTAAACTCAAAAGAAAAAAAAAAAATAAGAACGCTGAAGAGGTTATAAAATATATTGGGGTAAGCCTAATCAAGAAAGTGAAAAATGTCTACAATGATAACTTCAAAACTGTGAAGAAGAAGATACAGATACTACAAAATGGAAAGACATTCCATGTTCATGAATTGGTAGAATTAATATTGCACAGATGTCCATCCTACCAAAAGCAATGTACAAATTCAATGCAGTCCCAACCAAAAATACCACAATTCTTCATTGAAATAGAAAAATAATCCAAAAATATGTATGGATGCATCTGGATAGAAAAAGCAATCCTGAACAAAAAAATATACTGTAAGACTGCTATTCTAGACTTCAAAACATACTACAAAGCTATGGTTATAGAAAATAACCATATGGTATGGGCACAAAACAGGCATGCCATCCAATGGAATAAAGCAGGAGATACAAATATAGCTATTCATATAACTGGAGCCATCTTACATTTGACAAGGAAGCACCAAAAAAAAAAAAAAAGTACACTGGAGAACACATAACACCTTCGAAAAATGGTGCTGGGAAAACTGGATGCCCTCATGTAGGAAATTAGACCTGTATCTCACCCTGTACAAAATTAGATCCTAGTGGATCGAAAACCTCAGCTTGAAACCTAAACACACACACTTCTAGCAGTACCCTGATGGGGGATGTCCTTATGTATATATGTTTCTCTTATTTGATGAATAAAACATTGTTTGGCCAGTAGCCAGTAGAGGCAGGAAGATAGGTGGGACTAGGAGATGAGAATAATTCTGGGAAAGGTAGGCAGAGAGAGACCACAAGAAGATGCCATGTAGAGACTGGGAAAATAAGATGTGCCAGGCATTGTCCAGTAAGCCAAGACCACGAGGAAATACATAGATTTATAAAAAAAAAAATAGGTGAATAATTAAGACAGAGCTAGCCAGTAAGAAGCCCTAGCCATTGGCCAACAGTTTTATAATTATTATAGTGCCCATGTGTTTATTTCTGGCAAAGCAGCTGTGGGACCAGGCTGGAAAGAACCTCCACTTACAGCACCCTACAAGAAAAGGACATTTTAAACAGGACTCCATTTGCCCAGGAATTAAGGGCAACAACTGATAGGTGGGACTTCATAAAACTAAAAACAGATACAGCTCAGGAAACCCCACAGGGTGGAAGAGAACCTTTGCTACTTACACATCTGACAGTGGATTAATACCTAGAATATACAAAGAATTCAAAAAACGAAGAGTCAAGAAAACAAATGCACAATAAAAAAAAAAATGAGCTAGGGATTTAAACACGAGTTCTCAATAGAAGTAACTAAAATGGCTAAGAAATACCTCAGAAAGTGTTTATCATCGTTAGCTATTAGGGAAATCAAACTGAAACGTTAAGGTTACATCTTACCACAGTCAGGAAGACTAAGACCAACTGACAACAATGCTGGCAAGGCTGTGGAAGAAAGGGAACCCTCACTCACTACTGGTGACATTGCAAACTGGCACAGAACCTCTAGAAGGCAGTATGGAGAATCCACAAAAATCTACAAGACTAAATCTACCATATGGCTCAGCTATACCACTCTTTGGCATATGCCCAACGGTCTCTACAGCCTCAACCACGTTGTCTCTCTATTCATAATAACGAGGGAATAGAAACAATCTCAATCTCCTTTAACCGGTAAATGGGTAATGAAAATGTCATACATACATACCATGGAAAACTTTTTCAGCTGTAACAACACAAATCGAGAACTTTTCAGTAAATTTGTGAGCCTAGAAAAGACTATGTTGACCCTGAATGACAAATTCCACATGTTCTATCTTGCCTTTGCCTAGCTCCAAATCTTTAGATATATGCACACAACATGGAGTAACCACAGAAACCAGGAAAGTAGAAAGGGGTCAGTGGGTAGGGGCATGAGGGATGCCTGAAGTGGGAAGATGAAAAACTGGAGGCAGCTTCAGCTGGGAGGAGGGTGGGAGGTCAATACAGATGAAGAAGGGGTAGATGAAGTCAAATAAGACCAAGGTTATTTGATAAAACCCGATAAATAAAACCACATTACTTTATACTTACAAAAATTATACACTATACATGCACACATAGAAACAGAAACACAAGTATTCCCAACCCCTGAGCTGACTCTCCAGATATTTAATTTTTACAAGTTATTTATTTTTATTTTTTCTGCATGAGTGTTTTCGAGCTTGTGCTCTGCTAGAGAAACAAGTGCTCTAATTTAATTTTTTTTTTCCTTTCTCACAGTCTCATGTAGCATACCTGGCCTTGAATTTGCTACTCAGCAGGGAGTAGCCCTGAACAAGTTATTTCTTGCTTCCACCTCCCTGAATGCAGACATGGCAGGATATATCACCAAATGCACTTGTTTTCTCTCTCCAGTCACAGGTCTGTTTGATATATGTCAAAGTGTGTGTGTGTGTGTGTGTGTGTGTGTGTGTGTGTGTGTGTGTGTGTGTGAGATCTGAAATATTAATGAGTACATAGCTGTACCACCTCTTCATTGTAAGAAACAAGAGTTGAGGTACAGGAAAAGGTACTTTCCATGACTTACAGTGTAAATTGGCATATTCTCAGTTTCCTGTAGATTAGTGACATTAACTAGGAGTGTCTGTTATTTTAAATATAGTTAGATAATACACAGAAAATGTCAGTACTCATGATAATGTGGTTTAAAGCCTGTGCTTCTTAGGAGTAGCGTCCATCTCCAAAACACGAATACTCAATTTGACTGAAGTGTGACAAAATGCTGTTTTGGTTTTTTTTTGTTTGTTTGTTTTTTTGTTTTGTTTTTTGAGATAGGATTTCTTTGTGTAGATTCACCTGTCCAGGAACTCACAGAGATCCTCCACACGTGGCAAAGTGTGGGGAAATATAAAGCAGCACAAAAGATAGGGAAAAGGCAGGCGTGGTGGTCCACGCCTTTAATCCCTGCGCACCAGAGACTGAAGCAGGCAGATCTCTGTGAGCTCAAGGCCAGTCTGGGTCTACAGAGTGAGTTTCAAGACAGCCAGGGCTGTAACACAGAGAAACCCTGTTTCAAAAAATAAACAAACAAAAAACACAGGGTGAGCAGCTCACTGTATACTGATCACTACAGATCAACTTCATCTTTTAATCTTTCTGACACTGAGTAAATACTTGGGCAACCCTCCCTACCCCCCCCCCCAAGAATAGCTGTATAGACAACCCTGACTTGATGACTTCGCAGGTTCTAGACTCTGCAAGAATGGAAGAACAATCCGTGATTGGAGAGCAATGTAGACAGCCTGTAAGGTGTACAAGACTCTTTCTCCACCCAGGAGACACTCAATGCCACTCCATTAACAAAGCTCACACCAACTAATCTTTCCTTTCAGAAAAGATGTCCAAATGACTAACTTCACAGTCTGGTGGGGCTGGATGTGGTAATGTTTTCTGGTTTTTTTGCTTTTTTTTTTTTTTTACCCTGCCATGTAGGGTCAGTTGCAACGTGTAAACTTAGAGTGCCCCTTTATGGGATTTTTCTGCCTCCCATGAGTGCCTGAGTGTGTGTGGGTCTATGTAAGAGACTCCTATCCAAAGTGAGCAGTCCTGAAAACTAACAATTTATTGGGAAGAAAAGGACCCCAAACTCTCCCGCAGAATTCTCTGTAAAGGAGTCCAGGGACATTATGAACTTCTGTCTACTCAAATCAAGATCCCTAGGCCGGCTATAAAGTATAGGAGGGAGCAGAAAAACCCCGTTACTCTAGGTGTCCCGAGCAATCTGCGACAGCAACGTGAGAGGTGATAGCGGCTCGCTAACCCAGCCACGCTGGACTGTGAGCTCCCACCACCGCCTGGGGCACAAGCAGGCGGCCCGGCGAGCCTGCTCCAGCAATCCTGGACCCTCCGCATAGTCCGTGCTTGCACAAGCGGGTCAGCTCTCCCGGTCCCTGACTCGGGCAGCCGCCGGGTCCCCGCAACACCCGCCCGCCCGGTCCCCAGCACTTCGGCCAAGCCTGTATCAGCCCGGCTCGCCCAAGTCAGCTCCTCCCCGCCTGCCACCCTCCCCTCCCCCGCTCGCGCCAGGCCGGTCCTGCCCACCCGGCGCACAGGCCCACGGGCCCGCAAGACCACGCTGCACCCTCGACCAACCTCCATGTCGAACGCGGAGCACAAGCCACACTCCCCCAACTTTGAGAAAGACGTGGAGTTGGGAGAAACACAAACGCGGAATGAACCCGGAAGCACAGGCAGCAGAGTCCTGACTCGTCGACGTCATAACGAAGGACTACATTTCCCACAAGTCTTCGCGAAGGCCCACAAGTCTGCCCGAGCCCATGAGCCCTGCGGGTTGGGTTTATTGCCTACCGGCTATCACTGGAATTAAGCTGTACAAAGGGGGTTGAGGGGACGTGAGTCCAGCTTTTGGCGGCAATGGGTATGAGGTTTACTTATTACTCTGATCAATAAGTCCTGACATAAAAGGCTTAGGTGTACCTAGAAGGAGGAGAAAAAAAAAACACACACACACACACATTGACTCAATTTTATTTCAGAACAACGGAGCAAGAAGCTACACTGGGACAAACTACAAACCCTTTAATTTGTGTTTCATACCAAGTTTCCTGGAAAGTTCTGTAATCTCAGCTACTCCCTAGCTTGACACAGGATCACAAGCCTATGTCCCTAAATTACAAAGTACCACACACAAAGGGGCTACTAACTGTTACAGCACTTGCATTGAGGCCTTGGCTTAATACCTGTTAACTTCAAGTAAATCAATAAGGAAGAAACCGGCTTTACTGTGTACACTGGAGCTCAGTTTGGTGCGCGGGCCAGGCAACATGTCTCTACCTACAGATAAACGGCAGAATCCCTTTGAAACTCTTTTCATTTGTCCACAGTCCCTTGTCCACTTTCATCCATTAATCTGTGTAAACAACTCTGAGGGATCTGTACCAGAGCTTCATCCACTTCTCTCTGGTTTTGCTCAAATTGTGGAAAGCATTCAACACCGGGTATCCTCTGGCTCCATTTCCCTCCCACTGGGAGGAAATCAGTGTTGGGATCAGTATGGCTGGTGTGTGAACGGACTACTGACCCATCAAACATCATATGACTCCTCTATATGAGGTTGGACCTACCGTATTCAACTTTCTGTCTTTTTCTATTCTTGTATTTGAGACAGGATTTCACAGTGTAGCTTTGAGCCTGTCCTGGAACTCGCTATGTGGACCAGGTTGACCTCGAACTCACAGAGATCCTCCTGTCTCTGCCTCCCAAGTGCTGGGATTTAAGGTGTGTACCACCACGCCTAGCTATCTCTGTTCATGACATTGCTCCTGTGTGACCGTTTTTTAAATAAATGGTTTTTATTTTGTTGTTGTTTTTACTTGAACTTCACTCACTCCCCCATCCCAGAACACAGAAATGATTTTTCCTGAGAATATAAAATGAGCTCACTGCAATAAAAAAGCCTAGATTGACAGCATAGAGTAAGGGTACACCCCTATCTCAGATGTGTTTTTATTCCTGTACTGGTAATGTCTGAGACACAGCTATAAGCCCCATGATGGTAAAGAGTTCATGTTCATGACATGCACACTGATTCACAATGAAATTATTTCCCAGGTGAGACAGTGGGAAGTTCAGAGGGTTGTTTTGTTTTATCACCAGAAAAAGTTTTATGTCATCTTGACACAACCTAAATTATCAGAGAGTAGGCCTCAAGTAAGATCAGGCTATAGGCAAACCTGTAGAGTATTTTCTCAATAAGTAATTGCTTTGGGAGGGCTGTGGTTGCCCGTGTTAGTACCACGGGGAGTGTGGATTAAGGAAAGGAATATGCAGGAGACAGATGGAGTCAGGAGGGCATCCACTGAATACTGAATTGCCCATGTTTATTTTTATACTCCCATCAAAAAAGGGGAAAATGCAAAAGACTTCCTTTGTATCTTATACAAAGAACAAGCAAAGGTACTTATCTTCTCAATACCTGAAACATGGAGTAACTGTCTCCTGAGTTAAGTGTTCTGCTGTGGACATGCAGCGACCACATCCTATGCCAAGCATTCACATCTTAGGCCAGACATCCTGTTGTCAAGGTAAGATACACAATGGCCACATCTTAGGCCAAACATGCTGCAGTTTGGCCTTGAAGGAGCAATGGCAAGGGAAAAAACTAAACAAAACAAAACAAAATAACCTCTCTGACCATAAGTCAAAATGAAATGGAGTCATTTCCCACAAAGGGCCCAGACCATTGTAGGTAGTGCCATCCCTGGGCTGGTGGTCCTGAGTTCTCCAAGAAAGCAAGATGAGCAAGCCATAGGGAGCAAGCCAGTAAGAAAAAAAAAGAACCCTCCATGGCCTCTACATGAGCTCCTGCCTCCAGGTTCTTACCCTGTTTGAGTTCCTGATTTGGCTTCCTCAAGAAGATAGTAATCCAGGATATGTAAACCAAATAAACCCTTTTGTTCCTGTGATTGCTATTCCTGGTTGTAAACTTGAGTACATCTGTAATTAACTGTAATGGAGGGGGTCAGTATTCAGGCACCTGTCCTGGCCTGTCCTTGGGGTTCTGACAGGATACACCCTCAGCTGCAGCCACTAAGAGCAACACCTGTGCACATTCACTATGTTCCCTTTTTAAAGGGCCCTGCCCACCTCCCATTCTTTCTATCTGTGTCTGCTTCTCTCTCTCTCTCTCTCTCTCTCTCTCTCTCTCTCTCTCTCTCTCTCTCTCATTTCTCTCCTCTTTTTCTCTCTCCACTTCCCTTTTCCCCTTTTATGATTCTTTCCCTAATTAAAAAAAAAAAAAAAAAAAAAACCTCTGCTTGAACCCTGTCACATGGCATCTTTCTCTTGAGCACTGCTTTTCTTAAATTACAATAGAGGGCACATCTGTGAGAGATTTTTAGTTTGGTTTGAAGTGGATAGATCAATCCACTTCTAGTCCAGACCTTTGAGGTAGGAATACACATGTCTTTGGTCCAGATACTGAAGTAGGAAAATATACTTTAATAATGTAGACCTCACCTTCTGCTGGCAGCCAATATAACAGCAGTTCTCAGCCTGTGGGTTACAACCCCATTGGAAAATACAGATATTTACATTATGATTCATAACAGTATCAAAATTAATTATGAAGTAGTAACAAAAATAATATTATGGTTGGGGGTCACCACAGCATGAGCATCTTATTAAGGGGTTGCAGCAACAGGAAGGTTGAGGAAACACTGCTGTATTAGGGCATGGAAGACAGAAGCTTTTGCATTTCACCTGCTGACTCTTCCCTTGCTAGCACAGCCATTCCTTCACTGGCATTGGAGCCTACTTCTCCAGGATTCCAGCATATACCAAAGACCAGCTGAGAGATCCAGCCTTATGGACTGAGCCAACTACTGAGTTCTTGGACTTCCAATTCACAGCCAGTCACTATTGGATTAGCTGGACTACAGCCTGGAAGCCATTCTAATAAATCCCCTTTCTATGCATAAAGATTCATTCTCTAAGTTCTGTTCCTCTACAGAACCCTACTATATTCCCCAACTTACTTTTGTTCATGATGTTTGATCATAGAAATAGTAATCCCAAATAAGACACAAGTTGATAGCAGGATTGTAGAGTATTTCTGTGACAGACCTGACCATGTTGTTTTGAGGATTGTGGAAGGACTCTGGAACTTTGGGCTAGAAAAGCCATTGAGTGTTCAAATTTTGGTGAGCTGTTCTACGGGAGTTTGAAAGACACACCTGTTGAAATAAAGGCAGAGGATGGAGCCCTAGCATGTGAAGTTACAGAGAGAAGTTTGAGAGCCACTCAACACTCCATGGTGGCTGTTGCATATTTTCAGTTAGGACTCTGTGATTCTCAGCAGGGGCTGAAGAATCTGCTGTGACAAGAGAGCAGAAATACTAAAGTGAAACCTTTGCATTGCTGGGGTAATTGATGACGGTGAGTGGTGTGGACTTCAGGACCACCAGGAAAAGACCCCCATATTCAACTTAAATTATAAATAAACCAATTTATTTAAACCACTAGCAGGGCACAATCTGTAAACAAAATCTGAGACATGCACCCAGAGGCTGGTAAAGGAAGGGCTTTTTAAGGGAAAAACCACAAGAGCTGCTATGCTCTGCCAAGATGGGGTGGTCAAGGTGACTTCAGGGTAGACCTTGAGGGACCACATAAGCAAATGGCAGAAATCAGTCAGCGTCAGCTGTTGGTCATATCATAACAAGCTTATGGTCACTTCTGCACATTTCTGGGCAGGGGTCAAGGATCCAGGGCTGCTTGGAACTCATCCTCCAGGAACTTGAGTTGGAACTGCTATTAGATACTAAGACAAAAGTTTGGATTTTTTTTTTTTTTTTTTTTTTTGGTTTTGTTTTGTTTTGTTTTTAGTAGTCACATCCGGCAATGGCTCTAGTTCATATGAATCAAATCACTGATTCACATTGAGGTACAAGTTGGCTCTGAGCCTTTGGGGCTAATATTTTAATGGAACTTATTCTTCTTTTAATGTATGTTAGTAACCAATTTAAAGTGCAAGGGCCATCAACACCAAGGAGTAGTAAAAGAATAGATCAGCTATGGCAGTTAAAAGGATGGCAGGCCACGGGGAGCAATTAGAGTAGTGTTAGCTTGTCCCTGTAGGGGGAGCACTCCATCCTCAAAAGAACAGTAGGGAGCAGCTCAGAACAAAACCTAACGGTTTCTGCACTAAATTTAGGTAATATTTCTTTAATAGTCCTGCTAGCTCATCCTATCTGTCATGAGATTAGGAGCCTGTAGACACAATGAAATTTCCAATGTATTCCTTAAGTTTAAGCCACTTGCTTCTGTAGTTTGGCCATGAATACTGGGCCATTATTGGGCACCAAAGAGTAGGGAATGCCAAACAGGGAATGGTCTCCTTTAGTAACTTCCTACTAACTACATTAGCCATTTAATTAGCTACAAAAACTAGCAAATATCAGTGGCCAAATCTTATCAGTTACTTCAGTGAAGTTCGGTTCCCAGTGTTCATCAATCAGTAGTGCCTGCAGTAGATGTCTAGTGTTCCCTTACTTTGATCAGTGTTGGGATCATGGTTTGGTAAAGTTGAGGGCAATATTCGTTCAACTTATCTTTCTGCATGCACTCCAGTTAACCTTGAGACCCACCAAAACCCTCCTGACTTCCGTCATGGTTCGATCCATCTCCTCAGCAGTAAAATGGGTACCTGAAAGCTGCTTACAATCAGGCTACATCAGGTGGTGGAGGGCAAAGAAAACGGGATGATGAGGGCCTGAG